AGTAATATATTTCTCTAAATTTAAAATGTGTAACTATTTTAATCGTTAGTCTCTTTCCTGTGGATTCATTGGTAATCATTTTGAAATATTTTTACCGATCGAACAACTTTTATGTTCCAATGTTTGTTGTCTGCTAGATTTCCTGATAAAATTGATGGACTTAATTATTCCTACTTCTTCTGTTGTTGCAGTGATTGTAGAAAAAAAGTTAAATTAAAGGCCTGCATTTAATGATTTTATACACATGTATTCCTAACCAAGTAGTCCCTGTGTCAATATATGCCTAAATAGACTACTTGCTTTAGTGCTTTTCGATAAAAAAATTCTGACTAAATTTAGGAGTCTAAGATATGAAGACCAAGATCCTGTGGTCGCAGTCTCCTTTCGATGTATAGAAGTCCTTTGACCTCGTTTTCGCAACTTGGTCTTGTGGTCATTGCGACTTAGTTGGAGGCACCTTGTCCAAAGTCCTCTGCCATAGTAGTTATCATAATTCCCAGCGTCAGACCGTGGACTTGGCACATTCTCAAAACTTTCATTGGTGCTGATGCTTGGAATTATGATAACTACTATGGCAGACGTCTTCAGACAAAGTGAGTCCTACTAAGTCGCCCTGACAACAAGACCAAGTTGCGAAAACGAGGTCAATTTACTTTTACACATCAAAAGGAAACTTATTGAAATCCAGAAAATTTACTTTTTTTTTCTTAGAAGCCTAGATAAATTATTTTTATTCTCCATCTTTTGCCCTTTTTATAAATTTATACCTTTATTTTTGCAGCTTGAACTGATCGATAAGCTGTATGCTCCTCTCAGACTGCCTGACCAAGACCAAATGCGTCTCCTGCCTGAACTCGAAAGCCGATTGCATTCTAGATCTGCTCTCACTGCCTCGGCCAACAAAAGCCAGCATCAATTGCATCTGCTCCCTCAGCAGACTCAACCTGGCAGGCCAGCGATTCGTCCTTTCGAATCCGTCCCCAGCTCTTCACCACCGGCATTCGTTAGCCCTGGAGCCGATTGCCATTCATCGCTCAGCCTTGCTGACAACGAGGCAATGATGATCGTTGCTCAGGCTCAAGTGTTGGCCAAACTTGCCACAAACGTGCGCTGCGCCCAGCTTGATCGCCTCCTGACTTGGCTGATCGCTCTTGAAACGATCGTATTACCCGAGTCCCGGTCGCTCCAGATCGGCACAGAAAACCACTACGATTCAACGGCGTTATCCGCTATCCTTCGGGCAGGGGAAATTTCGCCAAAGGCCCCTGGTTCGTGCTTTGAGGCTATGGAAGAAGGTGAGGTCGTACAGGATACTTGTCTGGCCGACGCACGTGAATACCTTTATGAAAAGGGTACTGATGAGCTGAGAGATGCAAGTTCAGGGCTACAGCCTAATGCATGGGAAGTAGATGTAGATTCAAGAACTCTAAGAAAGGATTATGAGAATGTAGATCTAGAAGAAGAGAGCCCGTTAGTGCGCTTGATGCCACCGCGCGAGTTGCTCGACCTTTGCCGCCTTGTTGTATCATTTGCCAAATATTCATCTATTCCTCCCTCTGCCGTCCCTGTACCTGGTCGACCCACAGAATTACCAAGTTCTCGTGCAATAGCTATGGCGGCAAGAGTGCTTGAAGAAGCTGACAACCTCTTGATGGCCTCTAAAGCTCTCATAACCGCGGGTATGCAAGGCCAACTAGCGAAAAGGTTGGCAGTTCCTCCAGCCGCTGGAAAAGATTTTTCAAGTTGCAGCAGCTCTCCGAAGTCAAGTGCCATTGTTAAGGGATTACCTGCAGGTGACTCGGACCATTTAAGTAAGTGCTGACCCTTTTCCACTAAACCGATTGACCATCTATTTTTAGCCTTGTCTGACTCAGGGTAAAGAACTATTTGGTTTGAAAGTATAGAATAAGGGAAATTTGTCAGCTTTCATTTGTATACATTTATTATAGGTAGGTTTTCAACAATACTAGCAGATCATATATGTAAATAACAAACAGTATATATAAATTTCTTAGCCTGACTAGCATTGCGAATCTGCAAATAAATTTGTGTTGGTTGGGTTATTTTTGATTACCTCGAATCCCTCATTCAATTGTCAAGGCCTGGCTTATATTTCCTTGAGTTAATTAAATTTTGGCTCTTTAGAACTACTTATCGTAGTTCCTATCTCTACTTATATCCTTTAGTCAATTATTTAAATGAAGCTGTCTTTGTAGTGGTTCTTTATTCAGACATTGGGCAGTTGGTTGATTCCAAGACTTTCCGTCGGCTTCGTAGGCAAACTCAGTGAGTAGAGTAATGTTGCTAAGCCTATCGGGTTTTTAAAGGTAGGCTGAAATCACATTTACTGTGAAGGAACATTGTAATTATATTGTTTCTCCGTATTAAGCGTCATCTTATATGCGCCCTAATTCTCCTTCTCGAAAGATTAATTTTTCTCACTTAAATTCTGCATACCAGAAAGCCCTTGACTTAAAATGAGCTGTATTCGTGTTGTTTTGGCTATGTGTCTATTTTGGAACCAATACTTCCATCTTTTAAGTCCCGCTCAAATTTATGATGTTATTTAATACAGCTCTTCAGTCCACCTTGGATGTGAACGGTTTTTTTTATCTTGCTGCACTGAAATGTCAGGCCTTCTCTTAATTTCATTGTTACTAGAATCTCTCTAAATCATGTAACACTATGCGCTAATGAGATATATTCTAAATATTTATTTAACTCTTGGCAGCATTGACGAAACTTTTCCTGAAAGTTTATTTTGCAGGAGTTCAATGGCTTGTCTCTATGAGGTGCTTTACAATTTCGCCTATATTATCATCATATCCAACATTCACTTAGGAATATTATCTTGAACAGAGATACCCATTGGTATTTGGGCAGTATGGTATAGTGATAATCTCTTTCCGTTTATAGCATATAAACTTATTTTTATGTGGGTTCTTTGCAAGGTACAAGCTGCATTTATTCTGGAGAAACAAGCTTTGCCAGATTAATTCAAATTCGAAGTATCTAATTTTATCATGGAAAGTTCATCAGCCAGTGACTTTTGGTTACCATTGCTCCACTTAATAATTGTTTCCTTTTATTATCATATTAGCTGATGCCCTTAGTATGAAGGTTAAACTTCATGCGCTCTATATATTTTTAATGCTATAGAAAACGAAGCCATTATGTTGACCATCAAGGTCATATGTAGCGCAAAATATTTTTATATTTTTGATCAAAATATCCTTCAATTCTTTTGACCACTCATTATCCTTTGGGTACATTAAAATTTGTTGCAATTTTTCCCAGAAGGGGAATTTTAAAGGCGAAACCCAGGTATCGGTTTAATCGTCTTATTTATTTTATCACCTCCCGATCAAATTAAGAGAAACCTTATCACCACTTCAGAAATTGACCAATCCTTATCATGAAATTTTACTTGCTTGGTAAGGTGCGATAAATTATTTTGTTGCTTATAATCTATTTTCGGCTCTAAATCAGAAGTTTTTTGTTTTTAAAATCTTCAGCATTTTCGTTTTGAACGATCGACTACGTAATGTGGCCGCTGACATTTCCTATATACTTCTTTTTCAAACGAAGATTAAGAAGGGCTTGTTTATGTGGTCCTGAATCTTGTGTTATGGATGATCCTTTTGAAGGGCTTACTAGTTTTTTAAAGCTTATTTTTAATCTTGAAAATATCCTATTTAAGTCCAGAAGCAACTTTGACACCTTTTCCAGCCCACATTTTGCTTCTTCATTATGATTATTTTGTGATCTTGAAATTGGTTGCGAATATCTCATAACTTCTTGATCCTATCTCCCATAACTGGTTCTGCTTGAGCTAAATTTAGAGCGCTTACTAGGCAACACGTTTTGGGATAGATGATGAAGCCACTAAGCAGTAGTGCAGATATCTGAGGCTCGGCTTATAGAACTGCAACTGCTATTTATTGAGGTGTTCGGATTTGAAAATAAAGTAGTTATATAGAAGTCGTTTGACCTTGTTTTCGCAACTTGGTCATATTGGTAGGAAGATCTAAAAGGACGCACGTACTCCGGAGTCCATAATATGCATGATAATTTTCAGGGTAGGACCATAGATATTTTACATTTCCAGACGCTTAGCCGGCATCATCAATGGGCCTTGCCATTCTTAGCACCACATTACAACTCGTCAAAGAGACAGGTGAAGCCTCTGAGCAATTGTCTGCTAAACAATTGTGGTATCTCCTGTCACTGGCTATTCACCAATTCTATATCCTCGTACCACCCCTGCACTATCACAATTTCTTATTTAAATGTTGTATGGTGTGTCCTTTTTGTGGATTTCATGAGAATATTAAAACCCAACACTGGCTTTCTCACCCAATCACTCCACAATCCTCTTCCCACAGATCTTATCAGTCTCCCTCTTGTCCCGTAGGATCCGCCTCCTACCTTACTGATTCAGGTATTTCAATTAACCCCTACTACCCTATCTGTACTACTCGAAGCGTTATTTTTCACGCTTTTCAAGCCTTTGATGGCACGCATACTCCCGCCTTGTTGAGTAGGTCCCTAAAGATCAGGATTCTCAAGCTGGATGGGAGACTAATTTGATCAAGCCTTTGTTTCATGGACCACGTCTATGATCAAACACGTCTACTATTATTGTGGCATGTCTCTCCATTTCGAAGGGATAGTTGGTTGGAAGGAATTTGTGAGGTGATTTCACCGGAAAGCGAAGGAGGAAGACTGTTGAATTGTGCGAAGAAGTCCTAGGCTCACCGTCTTGCGACCCAAATGAAATTGTGCTAAGCTTTAGTCTGTACTGTGACTGACATC